GTAGATGGGAAACCGATTGCTCCCTCGTGACCTTTTGTAAACTGTATTTATGACAAAGAACTGCAGAGATACAGATCTCAATCTATCGATAAACACACACCTTGTGTCCTCTGTTTCTGTTTGAGTCTGCTCGCGCTGCGCCACCGCGGTCTGCGGATTGAAGAGCGCGCTGAAAGACGGGAGGAGACGAAGTCTGCTGCCGTTTTCATGTGAAACTTAAAGGGGACCGACTCTGAGGCGATCACGAATTTGTGTACGGTTTATAGAGCTAATCGCTATAGCCCCGCTAAAAATGGCCTAGCGACGCCCATGCTTCTTACATCCATTTCGGAGGACCAGGACAAATATTTCAATCGATAGCTCAGGCATTTAAGTGGCACCGAAATCTGCGTTCTGATTTGGTTCTAGTACATACCGGTTACATAGGTACCGGTGCCATATTGGCACCAGGTTTCGGTACCCAACCCTACAAATAATGGGATCAAAGTCTAGGATTCTTACTTTCAGATTCTTGGAGAAGCCGTCGTAGAACTTCTTGTAGTTCTCCTTGTCCTCGGCCAGCTCAGCAAACAGCTCCAGGCACTTCTTGACCATGTTCTTGCGGATGACCTTCAGAATCTTGCTCTGTTGCAGCATCTCTCTGGAGATGTTGAGGGGCAGATCTTCAGAGTCCACAACACCACGGATGAAGTCTAGAGGGACAATGATTGGCTGTTAGCGAGACTGCACCATTTGAAACCTTCAATCATCAAGACCCAAGATGTTTAGCAGCAAAACTTCATTTGCAATGCATTCAACTTTTGTAGTCATGTAAAAACTATCATCAGGAAATAATGTGGAGCAGGACTTTGTAAAGTCCATCAGGATTCTACCATGGAAAGGCAACTACTTGACAACTTTTCTCAGACTTGATTACGTCAGCAGCGTAATCAAAAAGCAAATGGGCAATTTCATGTTGAATTCAAGGGATAGCAAAAAAAAAAAAAATATATAATGTATTCCAATTATGCCATTTATTCATCCTTATGGTCTTTCCAAATTCATAAGACTTTGGTTTATCTTTAAAACCCAAATTAAGACATTTTGAAACCAGAGAAGTTTCAGTCCATTGAAAGTCCAGGTAACCAAAAAGGCACCATAAAACCATTCATATGAATTTATAAGCCTTATGTAAAAATATAGTCGCTTTATATAAGGAACAGATTTAATTTAGACTTTTGAATTTGTCATCTGGACATTTAATGGCAAAACCTCAGGTTTCATTAAAAATGACACATAATTGGTTTCAAATATGAACCGCAAAATCTTACGGGTTTGGAACGACACAAGGGCGAGCAAATGGCAATTTTCATTTTTGGGTGAACTCTTTAAATGCAAAGCTACTTACTCAGATACTCTGGGATGAGCTCCTCACAGCTGTCCATGATGAAGACCCTTCTGACATACAGCTTGATGTTATTCTTCTTTTTCTTGTTCTCAAAGAGGTCAAAGGGGGCACGGCGAGGGATGAAGAGGAGAGCACGGAACTCCAGCTGACCCTCCACAGAGAAATGCTGCAGGACCATGCATAAAAGTGAGTATTTCATCAACTCTCAAACATTTAAGTGTGAATCTTGTTCTGCAGAATCCATTGTGTTACCTTGACAGCCAGGTGATCTTCCCAATCGTTGGTCAGGCTCTTGTAAAACTCTCCGTACTCTTCGTTGGAGATGTCGTCAGGGTTGCGGGTCCAGATGGGTTTGGTTTTGTTCAGCTCCTCCTGGTCGATGTACTTCTCCTTGATCTTCTTGGTTTTCTTCTTGTCCTTGTCTTTGGAGTCCTCTTCATCATCTGAGCCGACGTCCTCAATCTTGGGTTTGTCTTCACCTTCCTCCTCCCCCTCCTCTTTCTCAGGCTTCTCCTCCTCTGCCTCGTCGTCACTGATCTCCTTGTCGCGTTCCTTCTCCACCTGCATGGAAATTGGTATTTTGCCATCACTCAACTACCAGAGCAATTTTATCAGAATAATTAAACTCCACTAGTTAAACCGAATCCAGCTTACGAAGAGAGTGATTGGGTATCCGATGAACTGGGAGTGTTTCTTGACCACTTCCTTAACTCTCTTCTCCTCGATGTACTCTGTCTGATCTTCTTTCAGGTGAAGAATGACTCTGGTTCCACGGCCAATGGTCTCACCTGGAGATTGGCAGGTGTGTGAACATTACAATCACCCTTAATATTGCACTTATGTCATCGAAGTAGGGGTGTGCGATATTGACACAAATCTCAATTTTCTGGGATTTTATCGATAATTAGACGATATTTTGCTGAGTGTGTTATTGTGCTGGTATCTTAAGGACTGCCATGGACAGCCGGTTTTTAAAGTTTTTGATATTCGTCATATAATAAATAACATTCTCATGACGCTTATTCAATAACTTTAAACACTAATACAAGAACTTTAATTTAAAAGATATGATGACTTTTAATACACCAACCACCCATTCCGGTCACCTCCGACTCTTATATGTATTACACATATATATGAATTATAGCAAGACGTTTAGAAGATGCTTAACCAGTAACTATACAAGCATCAGTTATACAGCATTGTAAACCACTGCACCTGCTCATCAACTCATTAAATAGCCATAAAAACAAATAAACATTACATCCTACATTAACGTACGATTATTTCAAAATAAAAAGAAAATCTTATGAAGGATGACCGCGTCTGTAGATCGAAAATAAGTGACTCTTAACCGGCATCCGCATCATTACAATACCGGTCAAAGAGCGAATGAAATAAATAATGAATTCAGAGATTAAACGCCGTTCTTTTAGTCTACATTAATTCCTGGAATGATATAGAATCGTTTTAGATGGAGACCGATGGCTTACCTTGGTTAGTTTCGTTGGTTTTTGATGGTTTAATCGCCACAGAAACAGCTGATCTCCCCTACACTGATACTCAGGGAAGCAGAGAGAAGAGAACCCCGCGTGCGCGGCTCTTTTCTTTATACTCCGCCTTTGAATGTGCGGCTGTATCCCTCCGCGCTGACTCACTCTGAGGCGCTTACATATCGTCAACAAAGACAAACTACACTATTTTATTTGTGTAAATCGCATTTATTCCAAGCTACAGATGCAGTATTTTACTAGCTCCATCAGACATAAATAACGTCTGCATAACTGAAATAATATAGTAATACGTTTCTTAAGAATCGCTTAATAATATACAATAAACAATAAAAACACATTTTAGAACTTAAAATACGTCTGGAGTATGTTATTTGAGATTCGTATTAAATTGTCCTGTGAGAAAGGACCCGAATGAGTACATTTTTATTTTTTAAAAATCCGTTTCTTAGTAAAACCCTACGATTTCCTTGCACATTATTGTAAATAAACCATAAGCATGATTATTTGACTCTTGGTAACTATAATAATATCTGTGATATTTAATAAATGTTTAATTGTTAGACAGAGAACACCGAACAGTTATATAAACAGGTAACGTTTGGAAATATGCGCGCAAAATGTGCGCTTCGCTGAGAGGTGACTCTTTATACAATCTTCACCTTGTCAAAATATTTTTTTGTCATTAAAACACGAAATAGTCAAACGGTCAGAGAACGCAGTGAAAGAAATGCACATAACAAAGCATAATCGACTGCACTATGTTTTGCATCGGAAGAACATCAGGCTTTGGAACTAGCGGTGCTTCGTCTCTTTCCAGCACTTTCCATGAAAATCCCGCCTTCGCTTACGTCACCTGTCACTCAAATGCAGTTTGCGGCCTAGAAGGGCGAATTTGAAGAAACGTCTGGTTAAATTTCACACCAAAATCAAAAGGAAAAACAACAAGGAATTATTTCTTAATGTCCATAAAAATACGTTAAATTTATTTCGATTTTCGGGGTAAATTCGCCCTGGAAATTTATAGACCGTTTTGTTAGATTTAACCAGGGATAAATTTAATTTGAATATTTTCTTGGTGTTGTTCATATTTAATGCGCAATTAATTGAATACAAATATAAAAGCTTGGAAGTTAATGAATAATTCTGCTGTGGGACATTCTGAGTTCATGTTTTATTTAGAATCAACAGAGAATATGGTTAGCAATATTACGCAAAGAACAATAAAACAATACTAGAAAAACTATTTTTAACTGCGATGCAAATGTTTTGCAGATTTTTTTGAAGTACATGCTGAATGTAATTCTATTTGTTAAAAATAGCGGTGAAATTAAATATGCTGAAAGTCAACAAACAAGATCATGATATCGTATCCCACACCAAGAAATTCTTAAGACCAAACGTATTGTATATTTGCATCGAATTTGTTATTTGTTTATTTTATTTAGCTTTTAGATCAGAGGTCTTTTAACTTGCCCGTTATTTTCCCAGAATTCCATTTCACCGGAAACTGCAGGTTCGATTGCTCGTTGCTTTTACTACGGATCCGGTGAACTTTCCGTGCGAGAAGCGAGTTGATATCGATTTGGTTTGAGTGAGTATGATTTATTAAAGTATTGGTTATCGTTTTGAGTTCATATTTTCATTGTTTCGTGCAGGACTTTGATAAAACGAGTTAATCTGTTGAGAGAGGTCAGAATAAAGGCTTTTTGTGACCGTTAGCTCGCGGCTAGCAGTTGCCCGGTGTGACTGAAATGATTCCCGCTGGTATTTTCTGACAAACCGGTCTAATTTAGGGGTTTAAAATTACTACATTTCACATAAGCAACACAATTTCCGCGCTATACACAATTTTAGCTATCATACACCTGTTTATTTGGTTAGCTAACGTCAATGGTTAGTCACGTTGTGAGACGTTACACCAACGTGAAATCGGCCTTTAAATAGTTTTAAGACCTTTCATCTGATTTCAGTACGTTCAGTTAATCTCTGATTGATTTCAGTGCTTTAAGCTCAGTTCAGGTTGATTTTCAATCTTTACAACATTTCAAGCTGATTTCAGTACTTTCAGTTTTATCTTCCAGTTTATTGTTGCTTGTTTAGAGGACAGTTTATTAAAATATAGGGAATTTAATGTCTTTTAGAATAGATTAAGCTTTATTTCAAACCTTTAAACTGATTTCATGTTGATTTTAGAACTTTCAGCTGGTTTCAGGTCGAATTCAGGCTGAATCAGAGCTGTCCGTTGATTTCACAGCATCCTGAAATCAGCTGATTGGTCTGTCAAGATTGTCTGATTTGGTGTTGATTTATTTTTGGTGATTATGGACTATAAATTAAATGCATTCAACATCAAATTTAACAGCTTTAGATGTAGACTCAAGTAATAGTACTATAGATACTAGAGCCCGACCGATATGGGTTTTTTTGGGCCGATACCGATATTGGGGAGTAAAAAAAGGCCGATATCGATATTTCTTTGTGCATATTATAGTACAGTGCCAGTCAGAAGTTTGGTACTATGTATAGAATACAGTATATACATAACAGAATATATATACATAAACACATTTTTTTGCAATGATCACTCAAATGTGGTGATCAAACACTTATAATGACGTGACAAAGATATGTAATGATGGAGGCAGGGCATTTAACAATTTAACAATAAACTTTATTCAAAATGAGTCTGACATCAGTGCACTGAATCGTAAAGTTGAAGTTTATTCAACTTTAAGTCAATTCAATTCCATTCAACTTTATTCTGTTGAAGTTTATTTCACTTTTGAACATTCATTCACGGATTTGCGCTACTGTCTTCTTTCACAGACGATCCCTTCAGCTCGAGGAGCCCTCTCGAACGCCACCCTCCGCGCGTCGGTAGCCCCCCAGGATCGTTCGGCACCGGGCCGCAAATTTAACCCCGAACCCCAGGGGCTATCGACGTGGGGGTGGTCTCATTCAAAAGAGGGCCTCAAGATGTACACTCGATTCGCGTTCGAGAGGGTTCCTCGAGCTGAAGGGATCCCCCGAATTTGGTGGAGATCCGCC